TATGAGGACGCCCTGTAGCGGTGAACTTCACTGTTCAAATTCCCAATCAACAAGCGCCACGATGTTTCCGTGGAGGACTAACCTGTTTTAAGCTCAAGGTGAAGTTTGTCCGTGTCGTGGCTGAAGGGGCGAGACAAGGTAATCCACATCAGGAAAGCCTGTCCTCTGCGGATAATGAAGTCATCACTTTGGTAGAGGTTTGTGTGGTGCTCTGTGCGATTCTCCCCCGATTTGCTCTTCATCAGGTCTACAGATTGGACTTTCAGGAGGACTTCTGAGGCAAAAAAACAGAAAACCAAATACATACGAAGGTGAAGCCAATCTCATGGCTGGCATTTACTTAGTTTGATAACACAATCGTGAGCTCTCCGAGATGTCAGTTACCATCAAGCTCGCTCCCGTCCGTCACCGCCTCCTCGTCATTTATCCCGTCCTCTTTTTCCAGCTTGTCGATCCCTGTGACCAAAGTGTCGGTAATGTCGTCGTCGTTAGGTTTGGGACAGCAGCACGGGCAGACCTTACGAAGCCACTGCCAACACGCGTTTTCTTCCTCAGCATCGCCTTCCTTTGGCTCTTCATTTTCTGCCTCCTCGTCTTCCCCTAATTCGAGTGTGACGGATGGAAACCGGCCCACTGCAGATCTGTCTCTGATTGATCGCGTCTCTACAGGCATCCTGAGAGAAAAGGTGAAATTCAAACGCTTCGTCATTGATTTTCCGGAAGGACACCATTTTTAAAACAGCTCACAAGGTCGTCTTCTTAAATAGGAGTTAACACTCAAGTCTTCACGCTTTAAGACTGTGATTAAAACGACATCAGTGAGCTAATCTTGACGTTAATTCGTTGCTTTTCGTACGTTGTACAGCTGAGCTGAATCAAGAAGACATTTTTTGATTTGAGTCCATCTTTTGGTAATTAATATCACAAAACAAGCACATGACGTTTAAATGAAACTCCACCCTATAAGAAATGATTGACTTGTGAATGCTCCAAAGTTATTGATTTATTAAAGTGGTTCCCAGCCTTGTGTGATGAGCCTTCATTGACACCAGCCATCATGATCCAATGTGTCCATTTGAATTAATTCCACGCCGGATGATATTTAACTCTATTTATTATGTAAAAGTGATGTTGTTAATGTTTAAATACAATGAAACCATCAGTGTTTGTCAGTTTGGTCAAGTTCACATTGTGTACTACCCCGAGGAGAGAAGCTTGACATTGGAACAATTTATCCATTTCTTTTAGTCATTATTTGTAGCTTTATTAAAACTATTGATAACTTTCAGCTGTTTATCTTTAGCTATTTTTAGCTAACTAGATAAAAAAAACGACTAAACATTAGTTCAGCTAACTATTTTACCGATTTCTAACTATTTCATTGCTTTTAGCTAACTTCAATTGTTTCATCATTTGTGTAACTATTAAACTGTTTACAATTCTGAAAGATTTTTTTTAACATTCTTAATACTTTTGGATTACTTAAAAATCAAACAAATGAAAATATTTCTCCTTATACAAAAAAAAAGGATGCAGTTCCACAAATACTGTTTTTCTCTTAAAACATTTCAAAACATTTTCAATGGGAATTATATAAAAATTGCATATTCTGTATGTGCAGTTGATCAAACCAAATGACCCGGACAAAAAGAGAAACTACAAGTGTACTGTGTGTGTTCTGTGATGCTGATTCTTTTCTCTACTTTCTTTTTGCCATCGCCGTCTAATCAAAGTCCACATGTAGGACTTTGATTGCTGATATTTTCTCTGCATACCTTTTCTGTTCTTTGCTATCTGAGAAATGAGTGACATTGGTGATGAAGAGCATTAGTATTACACACGTCATTTTGAAGTCAACATTGCGGCGGCAACAACAGATAATCGTCAGAAGTCACGTGACTCCAAGGCATCTTTAGTGTCACATTCATAACCCTCTCCACAGATCCAACTCTACAGTGCAGATATTTTGACGATGTAACTTATAACAGAGAGGAACTGAATAATGAATATTAGCTCATAAATATTTATTTCATCCACTGATATTGAGAATGAATCACATAAACTATCTTGAATGGTTGATCTTCTACGTTCAGAGAATCGTCCCTCATGGCATCAAGCAGGAAGGCTGCTCTCACTCTGCAAAACCATCGGGACTCATCTGGAGCACTGATGCTGAATTACAATCTGATTTATTAAGTCAGTGAAAAGCATCCAGCAGGTTTTCTGGGGAGGTGAGCACGGGCTCTGATTCTCAACGGTGCCAGGAAACACATTTTGTGTAAAGATCAAAAAGCCGTGCTTTGTCACCAAAGATTAGAATCCCATTTCTCAGAGCATTGAAGAACCTGAGCAGAAAATGCACATGTAATGTGCAAAACTTAAGCTGGGTGGATGCTACAAATCCATCCTATTACCCCCCCACATTTCATTTGGCCTCTCCTTTGCTCACCTCACTCTGATTGGATTGTCTTTCTGGCTGCGATTTATTAGATCAGCTCGTCTCACAGTAAGAACAGTAAAAAAACAGGACTACGGTATATTCAGTTAATAAAATACATTACATTTGCTCCTAGTTGCATTCAATAAAGCAGGTGAAACAATGACTGTGTATCTTGTCATTAATGCATTGTCATCTGCACGTCCCCACAATGATTACAAGTGGGAAGCCTCAGTATGTCGTGAAAGTTTGCGGCAGGGTGGGCCCTCACAAAAATAATGTTTATATGCGAGAACAAAATCCACCACAGCACCTGCCTCAGTGCCAAAAATATTAGGGCAGCAGAAGAGGAATTGTGCTCCATATGTTTGAGATCACAGTCTGCTTGCCTTGCAGGATATCTCAGACCTCCCCCCCCCCCCCCAAAACAAAGATACACACAGAACAAAATCACTGCACAATACAGAGATTATAAGACGTTTGCACTGCCGTGTAAACTAACGCAGTGAGATGAGGAGGTGCAACCCTCACTGAGCCAAGAGCGACAAGTTGTGGATGAGAAGACGTCTGACAGCTGATCCTGCTGTGTTATGAGATCTCCATGTGACATCCTCACTACTCTGGGCAGACTTTTCTCTGGCTCCCTCAGGGCCATGATGGCACATGTCTGCATGTTTACATGCCAGGATCATCCCACTCGACTGATTACATGTACAGAACAGGTGTAAACATCCAGTTCTGAAGAGTGAAGTCAAGGGTGAAGTGTTGCAAACCTGCATTCTCTCTAGTGTCCACCAGGGGGGGACTCCTCTGGTTGTATAGAAGTCTATGAGAAAATGACTCTACTTCTCTCTTGATTTATTACCTCAGTAAACATTGTAAACATGAGTTTATGGTCTCAATCTCTAGTTTCAAGTCTTCTTCAATACAGCATGATGTTCATTTAGTACATTATGGTCCATTTAGAGTCAAACAGACCATAAAGCAGGGGATGCTTTAGGGCGGGGCTTACTGTGATTGACAGGTCTCTCCCGCTACGAAAGCCGTCGTCACATCCGTTCTTTGGTTGCAAAAATGCAAGATGGCGACGTCCAAATTGCCGAACTCGAGGCTTCCAAACGTCAGTCCACAAACCAATGTGTGACGTAACGTAGTCTCTGGTACAGATCTAGAAAATCTGGTCAAGTTGAGCCTGAATTCACTCCCATGACGTCAGCAGCAGATGTAAAAAAAAAACAAAAAAAAACAACATTCCGATGTGATATTGATCCAAGTTTGGATATTTTCCTCGAGGAGGGTGATGATGCAGTGAGCATCTCTCATGACCTGTCGCCTCCAGACCACGGAGGCCTCTCATTTTGAAAACACAACGGGGGGAAACAAAGGGCGCTTCACCGGTGGCGTCAGAATCAAAGCTTTCTCAGGAAATTTAACACATAAATGCTGACTTTTTTTAATCTGACCCTGAGCAAAGTAATGCAAATGTTTTAGTCCCTTTCACGTCTGACAAATATCACCTTATCCTCCTGGTTTGCTACAGATGCTGCTCGGAGTCACAAGTGATAATATATGTCATGACATGAGAGAAGAATGTAAATCCATTCAGGGAACAGATCAGAACAGTCTTGTTAATCATGCATGAAATGACAACTATTGTTTCCATAATCCTGACATAACACACACACACAAACTCTCTCTTTCTCCTATAAATCAACCATTTGGGCATCTGAGAGCACTCTGCTCAGGATGTAAGTTTAACAACGTAAACTCACAAACCAAAGAGCCGAGCTATCGGGCTGCATACAGACACAGACACATGTGAAAACAGCTGGTTCAAACTCACGCAGTTCCAACGGCAGAAGAAGTGAGACTGTGCAGACTGGAGGAAGAACTTCTGTGGAGCTTCGTCTTTGTGTTTCACGTGCTACGAGTTCAGACCTCCTTTAAATACTTGTGAGGTGAGGACACGCCCTCCCGCTGCACTGACAGCAGTCAGGGCTCTTATTTTGCCAAAAAGCAAACAGCTGAAATCATTTGGGCCGGCAGCACACAGAGAGGAATGAACGAGTGAAGTTTGGTGAATGTAAGAGCTGCTGAAGTGGAGATTTATCATCAGAGTCTGAGAACAAACTCATTTAGAGGAAACGTCCTTTAAAGAGACGTTTAGTTACATTACAGACATTTAGAGACTCTACAGGTGAACACATGAACTCATAGATATCACCATGAGACTTCACCACTTCATCACTCACATTAAGAGACTCTACAGGTGAACACATGAACTCATAGATATCACCATGAAACCATGAAACATGAAGACAGTTTATGGCCGTAGTGTCTTGCCTTCATTATTTTTACTATTTTGAGCAGATTAAATATTAGTCTCATTCACTCATTTATTAAACTTTAGGATTCATCAGACCCCAGTTAGAAAGAATAGCTCTCAACTATCTATCAAGATGAAATAAATCCACCAGCAGACATTTTGACTCGTCACAGTGAGAAAAGCACAGGTGTAAAATGAACAAACAGTTTGACTCCTGTCCTCTTTATTCAAATATCTCAGTGACTCAGTGCAGCAACATTCACAATACCAGGAGACTGAAGCAGCTGAATCAGCCATGACTGATTCAATGGCTGACCGTGTGGGAGGGTCCACTCCTTGTTCACAGAAAGATCTTTCTACTTTATCGTAAATTCCATTCGATAAGCCGTGAGTTATCCACACCGACCGGTCGGGTCGGTTTTCACTGCGATGGAGGAACTCTGAACAAAGTATCAAGTATGACACACATATTTCCGTGATGCCATTGGAAACAGAAAAATAAACAAAAGGAAGGAGCGGAACAACATCGGCTTCACAGCTCGCCGTACACGCCTATGAAATATTAGTTTAGAGAGATTATTGGACTGGAAAAGTAAATGTTTTAGACGCCCTAGAGTGACTCGAGTGACCCATCTTTCTGTCGGTTGGTTCATTGTGCCCAGAGGATGAACCCTCTGACTTTTCCTCCAGCACCAACATGAGAACATTTGCGGTTTTAAGTGAAATCTTTCAACAACTACTGGCTGTTCTCACCCGGCCTTTGTAGCTAGTTTTAGTGTTTTTCTTTTCTCCAATACTTTGGTTTGTGATTTAAATATCTTCAAAACGAATGACATTCACCATCAACCTCAGCTGTGGTTTGTGTTTGGTGCTAATAAAGCGCCGCAGGAATGAGTCCTAAAAACCTGGAAATGAGTCAGTATTTTTGCACTTCCTGTTCACTCGTCTCAGTGTGTTGTTTGAATGTGTTTTTGGATAGAAACCTGAAATAATGTCTGTGTTTAACACAAGATGAAGAGATTTGAACATTTCTTTTTTAACTTGTATTTGGTTAGACAATCCTACAATGTAGGTCTCGCCTCAAGGCTTCTTGAGAAATGCTTTGACTCAAGAGTAAGAAAACAAGTCTACTAAAACAACTCAAACAAATGAACAAAGACAGTAACTGACAGTAACTGAAGGCTGATTCAGCCGACTGACACACCTTTTAAAACACCTGAACGGGTGAGGAATTAAGGTGCATTCAGTAAAAACCTGTACATCAGATGACCACAAAAAACAAGAGGCTGTTTTGGAAGGCAGTGACACAATGTGTGCGGTTTTATTACTGGATCTGTGACTTACTGTGCAACAGTAGTGCGTCATATATTAAATGCTTTACAGAACAGGAAATAAAACAGAAAAAAACAAACATGCATGTGAACTATGCGATACTCTGGACGTCAGTCAGAAGCTTCATTTCTCAAATCCAACCGTTTTAAAGCTCATAGCAGCAATAAGCCAGTTATCAGGGTTTCACGCATGCATGTTGTATTGAGGACATCTGTAGAACGAAATGCAACGTTGAGAATCAAGCGTCACTCACTCACATAAATCTAGACATTTTGTTGAAGGAGTCAAAGAGGTTTTTCTGACAGGTGCCCCGAAGGCGTCAGGCCGTCAGACCCTCTGGGGGGGATCGGAGTGATTGACAGTCTCCCAAAACAAGTGGAACGAACTGAAAAAACACCCACTTGCTTCCTTCGCAAACAGATTCGAGGGACGAATCGTCGACGACGGCGGCGATCAGAGCAGGAGGTCTGACACCGAGGGCAGCAGCTCCGCCAGCTCCGACTCCAGGATGGCCACCTGAGTGACGGGGTTGCCGCGAAGATCGAGACGCTTCAGCTTGAGGCAGGAGGCCAGCGGCTGAAGGTCGGCCAACGTTGAGATTTCTGTGCATTTTTGGAATCTAACCTGTCTAACCTACGGGAGACAAAAACAACCAAAGGAGCCGTGTGTGGTGTGCGTTCCATTTAGAAGGAGAGAGGGGCACCGGTGCAAACGTGACATCCTCATGTCAAATATGACACCGAGATGTGAATTAATTCTTCTGAATATAAAAACCCAGAGGACTTGATCTGCATGTGAAGGTTAGCGCTGAAATTATAAATTAAAAAAACTTGAACATAGCCTCGGTGTCATAACCTGTGAAACACATTAATTCCTCTCGAGTGTATCGGGGGAAGTGAAGCGTGAAGGAGAAGAGAAGCAGTGAAGCGTCTCTTCTTCTTCTTTTTAATAACGCTGTTTGCTTTGTGAAATCTCAGCGCTGATTGTATTCACTCCGTCGCTAAAGAAAAGTTTCAGATGAGAACAAAGAATCATGAAGCTGAAGAGTCTGCTCATCTTCTGATCTCTGTAAACAACGTCCTTGTGCGTCTTTTACGTCGCCTGCCGTCAGCTGCTGGCGCTCTTTAGCGGGGCTGGCTCTTTGTTTTGGGCTGATTCACAAGCCTTCAGTCACTTCTTTGTAAACGAGTGTACGGTTACAATATGAACTGATCTCTATGACAGCGATGCTTCAGGATCATTAACACAGATCCAGAATGGCATGTTCT